CATAATTTATAATCACAACTGTTACCATTGATAGGAAAAACTAGAATAGAAAATGTTAGTGGTTATTTCAGAGTGGTGGGTTTTTATGGCTTAGGTTCTTTTCTCTGGTTTTGCTTTGTTTTATTTTACACAGGGCATGTATTATTTTGTAATTCAAAAAATTCGTATATAAAAGAATCATACTTTTATTGAATTAATATGATCAGTTCTAAAACAATGAATTTTACTTTTTAATTAGCTAATTAAGGTGAAGCTTAATTTCCTCTTTTTAAAAGTTTTTCAGTCTAAAATGTGTGTGGTGAAGTTTTAGTGCCCTATTTACAGTAAGATATACCAACTTAGTATCAGTTCTAAAGTCATTTAAAAACATTTTGCAGTGTTTTTTTTGGTTAATGAGGCTTTTAAGTAAATCGTGTCATTCATCACTTCAGAAGAAAGGTTAATAGGAGTTAGATGACTTATCTTGGAGGTCTCAGTGGAGCAGAAAGTAGAACTTGAATTTTAAGTTATTTGTAACTTTCTGAAATCTTAACTTTTAGAATGAGGGAGACGTGTAATTTGCTTTTGACTAATGTCTCAAATTAATGGATGGATATGTTCACTGATTTTCTTTTTTTTTTTTTTTTTTTTTTGGACAACTAGTGAGTAAGATCCTTCTCAGAATCAGTCTATTTGATAATAAGTAATAACTGAAGTTCACTTATTCTTATGCTGACCTCTTATGTTCTGTCCAGAACATAACATATAAATGGAAAAAAAGTGCTAAAGTTTAGGGAGCTAAAATCCCTATTTAGGATACTTTTGATGTTATGTATCATTGTTATAATTCAGTCAACTAAACCTGGCAATACTCATCTTTCAATGATTTCATTTCTTGATGTACTAGGGAAGTGATTAGGAGAGGCTTGTGATATTACACATTTTGTTTTGATAAGCCCTTAGTTTGATAAACATTTTTATGTCTTTCAGAATATGATGCTTTGGCAAAAGTGATCCAGCATCATCCAGACAGGCATGAGACATTAAAGTAAGTGTAGAGCTTTACTTTGAAAGGAACTAAGCTTTATACATATATGCTCATATACTACCCTAGGCATTTCATTTTTGCAGAAATAAATATGTGTCAAAAGGAGGGGTCAGATATTCGATATTATATTTTCCAATACTTCTCTGTTAGATTTATTTTCCTCTGACCTTACCACCTATATGTCTAAAATAAATGCATGTAATATGGACAAATAGAGTGGAGAAATAGAATGTAGTCTTCATATATTAAAATATTAAATTTCAGTTAAAAAGAATAAACTAGTTATGTACTGTTAAAACACACTCCTCAAAACATAATCAGTGAAAAAACACATAATAAATTTTATTATTAAATTCCTGAAACACATATAGAATAATAACAATTTACAAAAGTTATAACCCCCTTTCAAATATTATATTCCAAGAGTGTATATTATTCAGTGATACAAGGCTATGTATAAAAAAGGATTAGAATGATATAGTGGCTGCCTGAGTGGGAGGTAGAGGAGATAAAAAGGCCCAGGATAGAGGACTAGGGGTAAGGTTCAAAGGGTATTTCCAGTTAATTGGCAATGCTTTATTTCTTTTACAAAAAAAAAGACCCTTGAAGTTAAGCTCTACAATATGTATCATTTCTTGGGTCTTGTTATTCTATTATCTGTATTTTTCTGTACTTTAAAAATTTATCCAAAAATGTAATTTTAATTAAAGTAAGTCCATATTTAAAAGTTAAGAAGAAATCATCATTTTTAAAAGTCTCACCATAATGAAGTGTTATAACTCCTTATAAGTTTTTTTTAATTTTATTTTAAAAATTCTATCTAGTAACTAAGAAGTTAGTTATTAATTGTAAATTCTTTTCCCCCACTCAGCAAAATGTAACACTGTTTTATTATTTCCAGGGAACTAGAAGCTCTGGGAAAAGAATTAGAGCATCTTTCACATATTAAAGAAAGTGTCGAAGATAAGGTATTTACATAGATATTTAGCCTTTGTGATTTATCTATCTATATATAGATCATCATATATATCTCTATATATATAGATAATCATTTGTATAAATTTTTCTCTTGTTAACACAGCTGGAATTGAGACGGAAACAGTTTCACGTTCTTCTTAGTACCATCCATGAACTTCAGCAAACATTGGAAAGTAAGTAGAAATAGTCTCAAAATAAATGTTTATGAAGATTTTTTAAATGAGTCAGGGATGTACCTTTTGAAATATATATCTTGGAGAGAGAATATACCTTCAATTTCTGAACAGTATAGCTGGATGACATTAGAAGATATTCATGTTTTCAACTTTATTGAATATGTGTAGAAAAGTCTTAATTTGTACTAATATAGGATTTAAAGATATATCTAGTGCTTTAAATTAAGAAGAATTGAAGGATGATAGATTTGGAGTTTTTCTTGGTTCACTGTAGTAGATTACTATAATGTAACAACTCAGGATCCAGGTAGGCAATAATAAGGAATCAGCACCTAAGAACATTTGCATACCCACCGAGTGCTGGGTGCTTTGGGGAAATGGAGACTTGCTCTTTATATTCACTGTAGACAGCTGGAAATTCTATGTTACCTGATCTTCTGATTGTTTTCAAGAACAGCCTAAGACCCTTTTTTTTTTTTTTTTTTTTTTTTTTTTTAAAGACAATCATGCTCTGTCATCCAGGCTGGAGTGCAGTGCTGCAATCTTGGCTCACTGCAATCCCAACCTCACAGGTTCAAGTGATTCTCGTGCCTTAGCCTCCCGAGTAGCTGTAATTATAGACACATTCCATCATGCCCAGCTAATTTTTGTATTTTTAGTAGAGACGGGGTTTTACCATGTTGACCAAGCTGGTCTCAACCTCCTGACTTCAGGTCATCTACCTGCCTTGACCTCCCAAAGTGCTGGGATTACAGGCTTGAGCCACCACACCCTGCCTAGATTTTTTTTTTTTTTTAAGTAAAACCTATCACATAAATTTTACAGTTTGATTAAATTAGTAGCCATCTTTGCTTTAATTGTATTGGTTAATAAAGGATAAACATGTTTTCATGTGTTCATTAAATATAAAATATTTAGACAAACTTGACTAAGGTTTTATGTTTCCTTCTCAATTACAGATGATGAAAAACTCTCAGAGGTAGAAGAAGCTCAGGACGAAAGCATGGAAACAGACACTAAGCCATAGATAGGCTAATTGCCCACCATTCCCAGGAATATTGAAATAGCTGCATGAACATAATGTGTTTAAAATGGGTTGTGCTCTTGAGATATTTAAAATTTTGGCAGTACAATACTCTGTTTTTAAATATGAATGTACATTTCATTCATATTTCCTCACACAAAGGAAAATGACTTTAGTATAGATTTTTTTATTAAAAGGCATTTTTTATTCTTAAAAGGTAGGAAGCAACATCTAAATATGCTTAATAAAATGCTTTTAAGCTGGATATGTTTGTGCTCATTAATAGTCTAGGTAGTTTTTAACTGACAACATTGATTGGCTTACAAAATAAGTTGAAGATTGTTAGAAGTTGGCATTTCTAGGATGTACATGGGAAAATGGGCCAGTTTCTAGAAATAATTACACTACTGAAAACAGAGTCTATGAAATGCTTTAGGAGGGCCACGAACCTTTGAAATTACATGCAAAATGTTTGTGGTATATGCTTATTACGGGGAAAGGTTTCATGCTGTTAAAAGTTACTGGCATGAGAGGTAATTATAAGATGCAAAGTAAAATAATATGCCTTACTTTCTATATCTCTCTTCTTAATATGTGAATAATATGATTCTTGTTTTGTTGATCTGTTTTCTCTATTGTTTTGTTCTTTAGTAATCACTTTCAATAGAAAAGAATATATTGATAAAATGAAGAGTTGTTTGAAGCGTAAATAGTTTGTTAAGATTGTCTTGCATAGGCCAGCCGTGGTGGCTCACACCTGTAATCCCAGCACTTTGGGAGGCTGAGATGGGGTTGGTCACCTGAGGTCAGGAGTTCAAGACCAGCCTGACCAACATGGAGAAACCCCGTCTCTACTAAAAAGAAAAATATGAAATTAGCCGGATATGGTGGTGCATGCCTGTAATCCCAGCTACTGAGGAGTCTGAGGCAGGAGAATTGCTTGAACCCAGGAGGCGGAGGTTGTGGTGAGCCAAGATCACGCCATTGCACTCTAGCCTGGGCAACAAGAGCAAAACTCCATCTCAAACAAACAAACAAAAAAAATGATTGTCTTACATAAAGAATTTATAATTTTTTTAAAATTAAGCTAAGGCTGAATCACTTGTAATTTTCTTAAGTATTGAATTACATGTGTAACACTTGCTCAGCCCCATCCTTATCCATTTATTTTAGTTAGGAACATGACAATTTGCATGAATCATACCTTAATGATGTTACATTTTTGTAATTTTAATAAGAACTTTTGTCTTCAAAAATGAAAGTTTAAAATTAGCTTAGTTGTAGTCATATTAAAAGTGTCATAATACCTATAAATTCTTCCTCTAATTTCATCTGGCAAGTCATGGGAAAAATTTCTTTGTAGAATTGCTATGCTATGACAAATGTTTCTGTTTTCCATTATTAGTAAGAATTATGAAACAAAAATTTGCCTATACTGACCCAGAATTAAAAATACATTTTTCTTTTTTTCTTCTCTGAGACAGGGTCTTGCTCTGTCATCCAGGCTGGAGTGCAATGGCACGATCTCTGTTCACTGCAACCTCCGCCTCCCAGGTTCAAGCAATTTTCCTGCTTCAGCCTCCTGAGTAGCTGGGATTATAGTCACCTGCCACCACATGTGACTAATTTTTGTTTTTTTTAGTAGAGATGGGGTTTTACCATGTTGGCCAGGCTGGACTTGAACTCATGACCTCAAGTGATTCCCCCGCCTCAGCCTCCCAAAGTGCTGAGATTACAGGTGTAAGCCACCACGACCGGCTTAGGGAAGATAACTTGTTAAGAGTCAGGGACAAAGTCAGAAGCAGCAGCAGGTACATGGGAAACACACATTTTTTAATTTATACTTCCTCATAGTTCTCTTGGATATCCTCTGGAACTGCTTAGAAGACTGAAGAATTTCATCCCCTAGAAACTCACACTGTTGAAGCTCAGCATGTCTTTGGGCCAGTAGCTTCATGGATTTATCAGTCACTGTTTCTATGAGGTCATCCACCTATGACAAATACAAAGAAATGAAGCCATGTGTTGGAAAGCCTTGTCAAAATCAAAGAGATAGTTGCTTTTCCTGAGAGATGAGTTCAGGAATTGGTAGACATTTTGCAAGTCTTAAAATGTTATTCTAATTCAAGTCATAGCAAATGGAGCTTGAAAACATACATTAACCACCCAGTGATAAAGACAACCTCAGTTCTTCTGAAAAGAAACCTATGCCTTCATTTTAATTGAATTCATTTAATATTTATCAGGTACATAGCATCATTCTAGGTGTCCTTGGCAATCCTTTAGCCACTTTCAGAATACCCTCCGCCTGCTAACATTATTTCTTTTTTTTTTTTTTTTTTTTTTTTTGAAACGGAGTTTCACTCTTGTTACCCAGGCTAGAGTGCAATGGCGCGATCTCGGCTCACCGCAACCTCCGCCTCCTGGGTTCAGGCAATTCTCCTGCCTCAGCCTCCTCAGTAGCTGGGATTACAGGCACGCACCACCATGCCCAGCAGATTTTTTGTATTTTTAGTAGAGACGGGGTTTCACCATGTTGACCAGGATGGTCTCGATCTCTTGACCTCGTGATCCACCCGCCTCGGCCTCCCAAAGTGCTGGGATTACAGGCTTGAGCCACCGCGCCCGGCCTAACATTATTTCTTAATGCTAATCATTAATTTCATCCCACACCCATGCTGTCTACCAGGGCTGTGTGTTCGGTTAAGCCTGGCTCTGATGCTTCTGAGACAAAAGTTAAAAGCCTTTGTCCACTACCTGCATTTGAAGCTTTCCTACTGTCAAATCTGATTTTCGGAGGATGTTTTCCATGCGATGCTTCTTTTTTTTAAGTGCTGGAAAATGTGGTCTCTTTTTTGGTGAATATGGCCCCTATGGTAAAAATGCAAAACACATCAGATTAGGAACTACCAACATTATTTCTGTGATGGTGCTTAAACAAGAATCCTCACCCTTGGGACATTCTCTTATAAACTGAACATTTGCTACATAACAACTTTGGGTTGGAGACTGTATTCATATTATTCTCCACGCCCCATGTATCTTCTTTGTGTCCAGAGCTCTCTTTGAAGAGATCTATAGGGTCCAGAGAAATGAGATTGTCTGGCTCTGAAAGAATATACAGCATCAGGAAAAAAGCAGGTCATTTGTAAGGGGAAGAAGAAATTGACTCTGCAGCTACTGAGCACAGTGAGAGTGTGGGGCTGTTGTGGACCAGTGCCCCAGAAAGCTCATTATCAGTGGATCTAGTTGTTAATTCAGTCTCGTTTCTGCAGGTTTCCTTATTTTCCTGGCAGTCATGTCTTCAAACATAAAAAGAAAGCTCTGGGTTCTTTTTACCCATGCCTGATACTTTTCCCATTGTCCCTGGCTTACTGGTTACAAGTACCTGTCCTAATAGTGTTGCAAATGGAAATCATTCCCAGGTCATGGCTCCAAGCTAATATGCCTTTTTTAGTCTTATTTAGGTCACTCTTCCTTCCCCTTGTGCTTAATGATGAGCTTTAGGACTACTGTGAGACCTACACAACGCAGGATATGGAACCACATCTGGGTCCTACCCTTTGCCTTTACAAATGGAGTCTGCTGAACCACTGCTGCCCTGCCAGCTTGACCCAGCTCAAATGTCCCTTGCAGAACCTTCCCTGATCTAGCATACTTGGCAGTTATTACCTTATTTCTCTGTTTGTTGAATACAACTACTATAAAGTCTATTTCCTAGGCAAGTTTTGTAAAGCAGGACTAGTTGGGGCTGGTGTGGACTGAAGAGAACACACCTCCTGCAGTAAGTTGGTGCAGCTCCTCCTGCTTGTTCCCTTGAGAAACTGGCCTAGTATTTTCAAATCTTTTTATTTTTCAAAAGAAAGTTGAAAACCCAGAATTTTATTTGAAATATCCTAATTTTTAAATGTGGACTATTAATTCAAAAAAAAAAAAATATATATATATATATGTTGAGATGGGGTCTCACTGCTGCCCTGACTGGAGTGCCATGGTGTGATCATGGCTCACTAAACCCTTGACCTCCCTGGGCTCAGGTGATCCTCCCATCTCAGCCTCCTGAGGAGGTGGAACTAAAGGCATGCACCACCATGTCCAGCTAATTTTTATATTTTTTTGTAGAGATGGAGTTTTGCCATGTTGCCCAGGCTGGTCTCAACCTCCTGAGCTCAAGTGAGCCTCCTGCCTCAGCCTCCCAAAGTACCAGGATTACAGACATGAGTCATTCCATCCAGCTAATTCAAATATATTTTTGAGAACATTCTGAGTGCTAAACAAAACACTTTTATAGCTAGTTGACAACCTGTGATCTAACATTATTTGATTGACAGAAATTTTTAATCATAGCCAAATTACACCATCTTTAACCTTATGGTTAGTGCTATTTGTGTCCTAAGAAGTCTTTAGTCTGAAGTCATGAAAATATTCTTACTGTTCTTCAGAAGTTTTAAGATTTTTGCCTTTTCCACTTAAATCTATACCAGAACAGAAATTAATTTTTGTATATGGTGTGAGATAGGGATCAATTTTCATTTTTTGTCTATATGAATGCCCACTTGTTCCAGCAACATTTGTTCAAAAGATTAGCTTTATCCCACTGCTGTGCAGTGCCATGGTTGAATGCCTGTCTCCCCTATTTAACTGTAAGTTCCACAGAAGCAAGACCATGTCCATTGGATCTCCCTGTAGCCCCCAAACATACAAACTGCCCAAAACATAATAGGGGCACAATAAGTATGAACCTAGCACACAGAAGGCAAAAAAATCAATACTAATATCAGTGCACTCTGACATTGGTGTTCCAGAGCAGCACTGTTCAGTGGAACTTTCTGTGAGGATGGAAATGTTCTCTATCTGTACTATATAGGACAGCCACTAACTAAGTGTGATTATTGGCCATTTGAGATGTAGCTACTGCAACTGGGGAACAGTACTTTTAATTAACATAAGTAGTTACATTCAGTTATTGACTAGCATATTGGACAGTACAGTTAGTCTATAGCATACCAATTACAACTAAGGACTCTAGAGCCAGATCTTTCTGGGTTTGAAACTTGGCTCCGTCACTTACATGGACAAATTAAACTCTCAGTACCATCCCTAAAATAAGGTTAATATTGCTACCTATGTTATAGGGCTGAAGGATTATCCAAGTTGTTATTTTTAAAGCACTTAGACCAGAGTTTGGAACATAACTTTAAGGTAAGTCTTATTATATTTAAAACAATAATAATAGTTCATGGTTCTATTTCTGAAAAATAATCTGAGCAATTTAGGCTCAAACATGCATACCTGGCTGGTCACGGTGGCTCATGTTTGTAATCCCAGCAGTTTGGGAGACCAAAGCAGGTGGATCACTTGAGGCCAGGAGTTTGAGACCAGCCTGGGCAACATGACAAAACCCTGTCTCTACTAAAAATACAAAAATTAGCCAGGCATGGTGGCTGACACCTGTATGTACTTCCAGCTACATGGGAGGCTGAGGTGGGAGAATCACTTGAACCCAGGAGACAGAGGAGGTTGCAGTGAGCCAAAATCATGCCACTGCACTCCAGCCTGGGTGACAGAGTGAGACTCTGTCTCAAAACAAACGAACAAACAAAAACCATTCATACCTATGAAAAAGTAAAAGCTTTGGTTTGGAGAGTCCTAGATTATCTATGGGCACTTTCTGTGTTGTACATGTGGCTATTTACATTTTAATTTCAATGAAAATTAAGATTAAAAATTCAGTTCCTCAGTTGAACTGACCACATTTCAAAGTCTCAAAGCCAAATGTGGCTAATGGCTACTATTTTGGACAATGTATACTTGCATCTTCACAGAAAGTTCCACTGGACAGTGCTGGTCTAATGAGTTCCACTCTACACAGTATGCACAGATAGGCCAGACTGCTAATATACTAACATTTGAAGAGTGAGAAAGTGAGTATAAAACTCCACTGCTGCCCATATGTAGTAGAAGGTGAACAGTTTGAGCTTAGAAGTAAAGGAATCTGACCCAGAGAGTACCCTAAATTCTTGGAGAGGAAACACAAACAGCAGATTTAAAGGGCCGATTATGGAGGAGTCATGGTAGGAGAGAACTTGGTTTTTGCAAAATCTCTAAACATTGAGTTATGTGTAAGTCTTTAGAGGCCAATTTGTTTAGCGTTTTACCTTTTGCAGCCCTGACGGAAGAGATGTCACAGATAACCGCTTGGTGGTTCTCCTGGCTCGTAGGAGTGTATTTCCCCGAGTTATCTCCTTTGTCTCTGCCTCTACATCAAGCTGTATAGTCGCTTAGAGAAAGGGGGAAAAAGGAGTCTGTGAGGATCACAATGAGGAACATGTTCTTCCTATTAAAAAGTATAGTATTCTTTGAAGACAGCATCACATGCTGCTTCAGTGGCTTTTTTTTTTTTTTTTTTTTTTTTTTTTAAGCTAAACAATGGATTTGCTCTTCCCAATCTTATACTTTCTCCTGCACCCATTTGCCTTTTGTTATGGTCATGACTTCAAGGACACCAACCCAGTATTGACAAGGTAGCCACCTCTCTCTCTCTTCAAGACTTAAGTTTTTTTCCTGAACCACCGTGGAATTAGAAAAGTAACCTTCTTAACATACAAGGCTCTCCCTTGAGTATTCGTTGTGGATTGAAGCAAATGTTCTATCCTCCAGAAATGTGGCTCAAAGCTCAGTTATTTACATACCATGTGATTGGTCTTTCCCATATCCAAGCGCCAGGTGAACTTCGGATTCCTTTACATTTTAAAACATCAATTCAGTGCTTAATAAATGCATTTATAAAGGAAGCTTTAAAACACTGCCAAAAATTTAAGACTAGTATCATAAATAGGCATTACAATTACTATGCTAAAAACAAAGCTATGTAATTTTTTTCAGAAGGCACTAAACCTGAGGTTACTCTCTTTTCCTTAAAAAAAAAAAGGCGGGGGGAGGTCACTAGGCCAGGCACAGTGGCGCATGCCTATAATCCCAGCACTTTGGGAGGCGGAGGCGGGCGGATCACAAGGTCACGAGATCGAGACCATCCTGGCCAAAATGGGGAAACCCTGTCTCTACCAAAAATACAGAAATTAGCTGGGCATGGTGGTATGCGCCTGTAGTCCCAGCTACTTGGGAGGCTGAGGCAGGAGAATTGCTTGAACCCAGGAGGCAAAGGTTGCAGTGAGCTGAGATCGTGTCACTGCACTCCAGCCTGGTGACAGAGGGAGACTCCGTCAAAAAAAAAAAAAAAAAGCCACTAAATGAGACATTTCCCTCGGTGTATTCAAAAGGATGACACCATTGAGGAAGGGGTGTTTGCAATTTGCTATGTGTTAGGATCACAATGAGAAACACTGTTCCTTCATGCTCTGTGCACGCCTAAAATCATCTTGTTGCTTCAAGTCCATTGATAAGGACTTCTCTGGGAGCCTCAGACCTCAATGAATACATGAGCCAACTGGACACCTCCACTTGGCTATTCGGCAGGGACCTCAAGTCAGCAAGTCGAGCCAGAACTCATGACTTCCTTTTCAATCCAGGTCCATTGCTCCTAATCTCAATGAATGATGCCTCCACCTTCAAAGCAAGTGCTCAATCCAGAAATTCTTCCCTCTCCCCTGCCCTTCACTGTCCAACTCTTCCCCAAATCTTGTAACTTCTACCTGTGCATATTTCTCCCTTTATCTCCCCTTTCCCACTGCTATGAAATCATCCTAGCTAATGTCATTCCTTGCCTGAAAGAATGTAAGGGTTCTTATTGTTCTTCCTGCATTTGTGCTTACCCTCATCTGATCCAGTCTACACTATACATCGAAAGCTATCTTTTAAGAATGCAAATCAGATTATGTAAATCCCTAGCTTGAAAGTATCCAATGGTTTCTTATCACCCTTAGAAGAAAGTTAAAAATTCTCAACATGTCCTATAACAGACACCCCTTACTACCCCATTCAACCAGCCTCTCCTTAGCTCTCTGTGTTCCAACCTCCCTGGATTTCTTTCATTTCCTAATTGTGCCTGGTGATCTCTTGATATTGTGACTTGAACATGCTCTCCCTTATTCCTGGAAACTGTTCTCCCCTCTCCGCTTTGTGTAAGCCATCCTTGTGTCTTAGCCATCCTTCAGGTCTCAATTTAGTTGCCCCTTCTTTGGGGAAGCCTTTCCTGAGACCCCGCCCCTAAAGTTAGAGCACCCATGATTTCTTTCAATAGCATCCCATGCGTCTGCTTTTGGAACAAATGTGATTTTCTGCATGTTTGAAAGCCCCTCAATGCTGTAACTCCATGAGGGAGGGGCCAAGTCTGTCCTATGTCCTACTCTATCCCAAAAACTGTGGCTGTCATATAATAAGTACTGAGCAGATATTTGTTAAATAGATAAAAACATGTTTTGAAGGTCAGCAGGGAAAAGCAACTGGTTTGGGGCCACAATGAAGGGTAATAATATTTGAGCTACATCCTAAAGGATGAGCCTGATTCCTGGAAAAATCTTAGTTCATATTTGTTATTCCATCTAAGATAAAAATAAACCAGTGCACAGATTGAGAGTAGAAATTTGATCCTCTGTTTTCTGCTGGATTCTTCAATTCCAGCCCCAGAAATATAGAAGCATATCCACTTTGTTATTTTCAACATAAATACACAGGTCAATCCATACCAGGTAATAGCTAGATGCTTGGATACTGGTATTAGTGACTGCTTTTTATAGAACAGAGAGTTTGTTTGAAATTAGTCAGCTGGAAACCATCAGGCTTTTTTTTTTTTTTTTTTCCTGGAAAAAGCAGACAACAGGTTTGTTGCCTGATCATGGTGTGTAAAATGTGAGGTTGTATATATATTTACATATACTATAAGGGCCATATGTTTCCTGATTCTGTGCTGTGAAGGACATTAAAAAGCTACAAAGGACATATAGGGCAGTGAAATTATTCTGTATGATGCCATAAGGGTGGATGCATGTAATAACGGGATATGAAATAAAAGTATGTATTTGTCAAATCCTACAGAACTACACAATATAAAGGAGGAACCCTAATGTAAGCTTTCATTAATAATAATAATATATCGGCTAGGTGTGGTGGCTCACACCTATAATCCCAGCACTTTGGGATGCTGAGGCAGGCGAATCATGAAGTCAGGAGTTTCAGATCAGCCTGGCCAATATGGTGAAGCCCCATTCCTATTAAAAATACAAAAATTAGCTGGGCGTGGTGGCGTACACCTATAGTCCCAGCTACTCGGAAGGCCAAAGCAGAAGAATCGCTTGAACTCAGGAGGCAGAGGTTGCAGTGAGCCAAGATCACGCCACTGCACTCCAGCCTGGGTGACAGAGTGAGACTCTGTCTGAAAAATAAATACATAAATTAATAATATCAATATTGGTTCATCAATTGTAAATGTACCACACTAAAGCAAGATGTTAATAACAGGAGAAGATGTGGGGGTCAGGGAAGCGGGAGTATATATGGGAAGTCTATATTTTTCTGTTTAGTTTTTCTGTAAATATAAAAATGCTATAAAAATACTTTTTTTTTTTTTTGAGACAGAGTCTCATTCTGTTTCCCAGCCTGGAGTGGAGTGCCATGATCTCAGCTCACTGCAGTCTCTGCCTCACAGAGTCAAGCAATTCTCCCATCTCAGCTCCCTTAGTAGGGACTACAGGGACATGCCACCCTGCCTAACTAATTTTTTTTTTTTTTTTTTTTGTATTTTTGGCCAAGATGGTTTCACCATGTTGCCCAGGCTGGTCTTGAACTCCTAGGCTCAAGTGATCCACCTGCCTCGGCCTTCCAAAGAGCTGGGATTACAGGTGTGAGCCACTGCTCCTGACCTAGACTTCATTAATTTTTTAAAAAGCTACAGATGAGAATGCAAACATTGGTAGTATTGTTAGTCATAACTCATAGGATGCTAAATGACAGCATTGCTAGTTGCAAAAACAACTTAGCAGTTCAAATATTGATTCTTCTACACAGTACATAGAAAGTAGATACAATAAAAGCAAGCATTCTTTATGACTTACCAGTTATACATTTTATTCATTTAATTCTCACTACCCCCTACACTATTAGAAGTAGCATGTGAAAGTCTGTATCACTGCTTTCTCCAGAAACAAAACCAAAAATCTCCCTTGAGTTTGCTTTTCCAATGTATATGTATATATGAATATACATGCACTTATAGTGAATATTTATGCATATATATTTAAATAAAAAGTGACTTTAAACTGATTAGACCACTGATTAATTGAACTAGGAGAAACCTCCAAGGCAATCCAATGCAGTGCTTCTCAAAAGGTATGAACAAGGCTGGACATGGTGGCTCACACCTGTAATCCCAACACTTTGGGAGGCCAAGGCAAGCGGATCACCTGAGGTCAGGAGTTCAAGACCAGCTTGGCCAACATGGTGAAACTCTGTCTACTAAAAATACAAAAATTAGCTGGATGTGGTGGCACGTGCCTGTAGTTCTAGCTACTCAGGAGGCTGAGGCAGGAAAATCGCTTGAACCCGGGAGGCAGAGGTTGCAGTGAGCCGAGATCATGCCGCTGCACTCCAGCCTGGGAGACAGAGCAAGATTCTGTCTAAAAAAAAACAAACAAAAAAAAGCAAAATGGTGTGAACATACAAGCCGACTGAGGATCTTGCTGAAGTACAGCTTCTGACTCAGAAGGGCCCAGGTAGGGCCTGAGATTCTGCATTTCAGACCAGCTCCTCAGGGATGGCATACTGGTATAGCAAGAAAATTCATCCTAACTTCACTCTTCCTCTTGGCCTCAACCCAAGCACAGATTGCCCAAATTTGATTACCATTCTCTGAGAACTTTCTCATTTTTGTTGTAAATAACTTGGGAGATGGAAGTTCTTTAACAATCCTAGGGAGAAGGCTCTGCGTGTTTGACAGGAGGGCTTCCTCATGGTCAGCGGAGCCCTCTTTGCTGGCACTTGCTGGCTTGCTTCTATACTTGTAGGACAGCATCCGCCCAAAAGCAGTCTTCACTTTCGTCATCAAATTTCTTTTCTGATTTTGCTGGCTTGAAATCTCATGAAATCTCATGTCACTCTCACTGGATGATTCCTCATTAGGGACCAATACCTTTTGTTTTAGTAAGTTGGTAGACACAGCTCTATGCCATCTAAACAAAATAGAAATAGTTCATATTGGGGGAACTGAAACGTTAAAAGTGAATAACTTTTAAATCATTAAAACACACACTTCAAATGTGAACAAACTATACAATTAAAAAAAAAGTGAAATTGGAGACCAAGAATCAAATAACAGAAAAATAAAGCCAAAGGAACTACTTGGTGTTTTTTTACCATATTACAGTAATCTGGCCACTATTTAATTTAAACACAGTACTGTAAGAGGTAGGTTATATTATTATCTTCATTTTACTAATGAGTAAACTGAGACATAGGTTAAATTAATTGACCAAGGGCTGAATGCAGACTATAATCCAGGTCTGTCTCTTGGAATCCATTACCTTATATTGGCAAATTGGCAATCTTATTTCAGTGAAAGTTTGAGATAGTTTTTGCTAGATTTGGCAGTTTCAAAGTGAAAGTAACAAAAGATGAGAGAGTCTGCTAGGATAGTCAGTAAGGAATAACCTCCAAGTCCCCATATATGCTGCATTTACATAGAACACTCATTTAGATAACATACTATTAACTTTTATACAGTGACTATGTGTACCATCTTCATAATTTTGGTATATTTTATTACACACAATATTCTAAACAATAGGCAACATTTTCTGATAGCTTTCTGTGCGCTAAACACTCTTCCAAGTGCTTTCGTCTGTAGAACATAACTAAATCTTTGCATTCTCATCTCTACTTCACACCTGAAGATATTAAAGTTTGGAGAGATTAAATAATTTATGTCCAGATGATCTGATCCTGAGGTCTGTGTTGTTAACCACTATGCTAGAATATCACCTATACCGTGATACAATTTTTACCTAATATTCTTCCTCAATTAACTATTTTTTAAAATACCCATGAAATCTCAGGTATTTTTTAATTTAAAATTTTAATGTTGAGATCATTATAATTTCACATGCAGTTTAAGAAATACAGGAAGATTCTGTGTGCTCTTTACCTAGTTTCCCCAAATGCTGACATCTTGCAAAACTATATTTTCACAACCAGCATGTTGACATTGATACAGTCAGGATACAGAACATTTCCGGTAACACCAGGATCCCTCATGTTTTATAGCCACACCTGCTTTCCACGGCCCCCTCTTTCTTAAACTGGCATCCACAAATCTGTCTTCTGTTTGCATAATTCTTGTCCTTTCAAGAATGCTATGTAAATGGAAATATACATCAAGTAATTTTTTGAGATTTGCTTTGTTTTCACCCAGCATAATTCTCTGGGCATTCATGCGGGTTTTGTGTATTAATTGTTCATATCCTTTTATTGCTGAGTAGTAGTCCATGATATGAATGCACCACATTTTGTTTAACTATTGACTAATTAAAAGATATTTGGCTTGTTTCCAGTTTGGGGCTGTTATGAATAAAGCTGCTATAAACATTTTTGTATAGGTTTTGTATGAACATAAATATTCATTTCTCTGGGTAAAAATCCCAGGTTTTATTTTATGCTATTACATTATATTAAATATATAACATTTCTTTTTTTTTTTTTTTTTTTGAGATGGAGTCTTGCTGTGTTGTCAGGCTGGAGTGCAATGGCGCAATCTTGGCTCACTGCAACCTCTGCCTCCTGGGTTCAAGTGATTCTTCCACTTCAGCCTTCTGAGTAGCTGCGGCCACTGGCACATGCCACCACGCCTAATTAATTTTTGTATTTTTAGTAGAGATGGGGTTTCACCATGTTGGCCAGGATGATCTTGATCTCTTGACCTTGTGATCTGCCCACCTTGGCCTCCCAAAGTGCTGGGATTACAGGGGTGAGCCACCGCGCCCAGCCATAACATATATTTCTAATATGGATTAAAACAAATTTATAACCATTAACAATGTTCTTTATATATTACCTAAAATATCTCATGTACCATCAGTAGCATGTGTACTACTCTCCAGGAAAACACTCTTCTAAACGGAACCTAAATCATTCTGCCTCTTTCTATAATTATACATGGGAAGTAGTTTAGCGAGAGACCAGACACTAAAGTTAAATGGCCTTGGTTCAACTCAGGACAATTCCTAACTCTGTTACCTTGGCCATTTTATGTAATCTCTATAAGCTTTGGTCGTCTCATTTGAAAATGGGCGTAGCCTTTTCAGAATTGTGAAAATAAAAGGAAATAATTCATGTGTTTGGAATCTTAAAAAGCATTCAATAAATGATGCTTTTTATTACCATGTGGATCAGAATAGTGGGGAAAATGTAAAAGGCAAAAAGGGAACCCACACTAGACGGCAGAATAAGGGAGAGGCTAGAAGCCTCCCTTCTGGGACCAAGGAAATGAATCTCTGGGAGACCAAAAGCCTCCCTGCTGCAAATTTTACATATATGACTTTTAGGGGGTGCTATTCAATTTAGTCTTTAGGGTTGTGTATAGTTATAATGATTTTCTGGCAGACGATAGTAAAATGTCCTGAGGAGGGAGCACCATTTCCTAATTTGCCTGAAGATAACTTATGGGCTAGTATTAATCTCCTGTAGACCCCACTGAGACTCCTTTAATAATAATTTAATTTTTTTTTTTAGATGGAGTCTTGCTTTAGTGTCGAAGCTGGAGTGCAGTGGTGCGATCTTGGCTCACTGCAACCTCCGCCTCCTAGGTTCAAGCGGTTCTCCTGCCTCAGCCTCCGGAGTAGCTTGGGATTACAGATGTGAGCTACCACACCCAGCTAATTTTTGTACTTTTAGTAGAGACGGGGTTTCACCACGTTGGCCAGGCTGGTCTTGAACGCCTTACCTCGTGATCTGCCCATCTCGACCTCCCCAAGTGCTGGGATTACAGGCATGAGCCACCGTGCCTGACCAATAGTTTAATTTTTAAGTGATTCTACTACTATAAACATGTACACTCATACACTTTGACACAGAACAATGCAAATACAGTTTCTGGAGATTCAGGAATCCCGAAGACCATCCATGCAACCCCTCTGGTTAAAAGTCCAGTTCTAAGTGCTCTCAGAATCTCCAGAAGGTGTTCTCCATTCCCATCCTCCCCACTCTCATCTCCAATCTATCCAAAACATAATTAACAAAGGTGATTTTGCTCCAGAGCCTAGGAATACAACTACTGCAACTTCTGGTATAAGGAGAACCATCCCCTTCTTAAGTTCTTAAATATTTTTGTGTTGGTACTGAATTTATTTGGTTGTATTGCTTCCCCCTGGATCTCCTACATTTCATTGAAAGTGGAAATCTCTGTAGTATTTCATTTTGTCCGTGGAAGTTCATAAGCTTGGCTTTTGATTCTTCCAGGGCTCATTAAAACACCTCACTTCTACATGTCTGAACTATAGTCCATGGACCTGGTAAGAGAGAAGCATGAAGAAACCGGAAAATAAATCACCACACTGACTTTCCAAATTAAAATATATTATATTTTGGATGTTTCATACCTGTCTGTATGGTTTTTGTCATTGGCAAAAAAAAGCAGGTCTAAGACAGTTTTAATGTTACATTAAACAATGTGTCCATAGTGAAATGTAATTAGCACATATTTCAGCAGCCAAAATTGCTGGAATAGGAAAAAGAAAACATTGATCATGGACCTGTTTTGAAGAAGGCACTAATCGCTCTTCAAAATAGTACAAATTTTCATGGCATGTGAGATGTCTAAAATTCTGATGCTAAAATATCAACATAAGATCGGTACCTATTTTAGTCTCCTGTGCCACATTAAATCTCAATTTCAAGTGGAAGGGAAAGGTTTTCCCTGTTACAGTTAAGACCTTTCTGATCATAAAATGAAGCTTATATTGTTACACTAGATTTCTTGATCCAATGGAGTACCTTTTCAGCCAATCTATCCAGAGTCCTCACTCCTAAATGCAATGCTTAAAACGACATGCCACCATGCAAAATCCAAAGACTCTCATTTGACAGAAAACACAATGAATCTCTGTTACCCACCTTTCTATCCCCTTCCTTTTGAATGAGGCATTTTTCTTCTTGAGTTGCTGGAATCTTCGGTACTGTCCAACTTTTCCATAGGCAATCTTAAAGGATTCTGGTAGATACAGCTGACGTCGGGCCATTGCTGTCAACTTCACCTGCAGTAGCCGTTTTTGATTGTTTTAGTTATTGAGCTTACAGACTTCACTACAAAATCATCCTGTGACTGAGTGTACTCTCAAGGTCTGGGCTATTTGGAATAAAATACGTAGGAAAATTTTAGAGTCTTTCCCTTATTCCCTTCCAAGTGTTAGAGACATTATTTGTGGGACTGACCCTGTTTACAACTTCACAGAGGTCACCAATGATGTATTTGACAGGGCTGTGTGAAATTCCATGGCTCTTTGTGGAAGACTTCACAGAGTCTCCAACAAGGCAAATGAAGAAATGATGATCTGATTGCCTCAACACTGGCATTTGCATAGGAAAAAAACCAAAAACCAAACCAAACCAAACAACAAAACACCCATGCACTATTTGACCACCACATTCAGAAGTGCATATTCGAACTCTGAAGGAAGAGACCTGTGGGAATACCAACAATCTGTTGATTAACAAAAGTTGAGTGGCTGTTGGATCTCTCAGTTACAGCTGGTCGATGTTCTCTGTGTCCCGTGGAACACATGTGACAAGGCCAGTTGTTGTTTGGACATCTCAGAATGTGCCCCAATGGTGGTTTTCATTACATCTTGGAATTTTGCAGTGGTCTCTCAAAGTACATTGCTGAATTGAGGACCTGATCCACCCCTCCCTTCCAACATTGCCCCACTTATTTCATGGTGAAGAGCGTATTCTGCCTGGAATGAAACTTTTCACCACAAGGTGGCAGCAGACACTAGGATTTATTCCTGTCATCCTCTGGCGCTTTGAGTTGTTCCGTCAAGTAACTAAATGTTTAAGAAGAAAAACTCTTCTAGAAAGGTTCTGGAAGTTACATGAATTACTCTGCTTTCTGTGTTTGCATTAATCAATAATCAAGTGCACACGAATTTCCTAGAGGTCTTTTTAAGATGAAGATTTCGACACAGTACATCTGGGGTGGGATCCAAGAATTTGCACTCCTAACGAAGTTCCAGGTGATGCTGATGATGCTGGACTGCACCTGTAGTAGTGAGGGTCTTGTATGTTTCAGTACTGGGGGAAAGAGCTTTAAAATGGTATAGAATGAAGTGTATAATGTTGAGGGACTAAGGGAGTGGATTTGGAAATTATGCCTGGATTCTCATTTCTAGCTTAGCTATGTGACCTTGGTGAATTCATTTTAACCTATTAATGTTTGTTTTCTCATCCCTAAAGTGGGAATACTCATAGTGCCCAAGCCATAGTTTTATGGCAAAATTCAAGTGAAATAGAAATTCTGCTTCAGCAGGGAATGAGACCCAGGAATCCATATTTTAGGAGACTGGGTGCAGATGTTCCTCTGTCCCACATTTGAGAAGCACTGAAGTAGAGCATATCTAATGTGCTTGGCCAAATGGACATGTACTCTTCCCCCAGACTATTTTTCTTCATCTGTCGCATCCTCAGAGCACAATAAATAACAGGTACTTGAATAAATGAATACATGAATATTTTCTATAGCAACAGGCCAATGTTTTTCATGCAATTATTGGCACTCCTGTCTTAATTCTGTTGTATTCTGTTAATTATCCAGATGAATGAGATGAATTTTTTCATTTTTTCTTTTTTTGAGTGGAGTCTTGCTCTGTTGCCAGGCTGGAGTGCAATGGCATGATCTTGGCTCACTGCAACTTCCACCTCCTGGATTCAGGCAATTCTCCTGCCTCAGCCTCCCAAGTAGCTGGGAATATAGGCATGCACCACCATGCCCAGCTAATTTTTATATTTTTAGTAGAGACAAAGTTTCACCATGTTGTCCAGAATGGACTCGATCTCTTGACCTCATGATCTGCCTGCCTCGGCCTCCCAAAGTGCTGTGATTACAGGGATAAGCCACAACGCCTGGCCGAGATGAATTTTTTAATTTTTAAATTTATTTATTTATTTATTTGACCACTGTCAGAAAAGAGATGAATTTTATACTAGGAAAGAGAGCTGTTTTTTATTTGTGCATGGGTGTCTGTGTTTGTACATGTCTGTGTGTGTGCATGTCTGCATGTATGCGTGTATGTAGTAGGCTGAAACATTTGCTGCTGTGGCTCCTGTGACAAAACTTGTTGGTTTCCAAAGGGGTCCTGAAGCAGATGATAGCGCTAGAAAGAGTGGGATGGGGGAAAGGGTTAGAGTATAGACAGACACCAATTTGGAGCTGTGTCTGGATTTATATTCTAGCTCTACCCCTTACAAGCTTATGGGTCCTTGGGCAGGTGACAAAAATCTCTTTGGACCTTCGTTTTCTTGTTTGTAAAATAGGAATCATAACTGCTACCTCCCAAGATTCTTTTAGTCATTCAGTTATTCAACAAATGTTTGAATGCCTGGTGGTTGCCAGGCACCACCCTAGATACCAGGGATACTGCAGTAAACAACACACGTGAAATCTCTGATCTCATATAACTTAATATGCTGTGGGAGACACAGGTAACAAACAGGGAAATGAACATTTTAATTTCAGCTGGTAGTAAATACTATGAAGAAAGTAAAAGAGGATGATGGGATAGAAGGACTGAGGATAAGGAGTGACTTTAGATGGGGCATTAGGAAAGCCTGTCCAATGAGGTCAGGCATCGGTCCTGAATGCTGAACAGGGAAAAGAGCCAGTCGTGTGAAAATGCGTGTGACCCAGGCAGGAGAAACAGCATGTAGCAAAGCCCTGAGGTAGAAGAAGCCCAATGTCTTTGAAAATGTGGAAGAACGCTAGGGTAGGTGGAGCAAAGAGAGGTAGCTGTGTGTGACAAGCTGCAGAGAGGGCCAAACCTCTTGAGTTCTACAGATCAAATTAAAGATTTTGGTCTTGATCTTCAGAGCAATGGGCAGTTGTTGAGGGTTTTGTTTTGTTTTGTTTTGTTGAAACAGGCTGGCGTGCAGTGGCACCATCTTGGCTCACTGCAACCTCTACCTCCCGGTTCAAGCCATTCTTGTGCCTCAGTCCCCTGAGTAGCTGGGGTTACAGGCGCATAACAACACACCCAGCTAATTTTTTTGTATTTTTAGTAGAGGCAAAGTTTCAACATGTTGCCCAGGCTGGTCTCCAACTCCTGAGCTCAGGTGATCCACCCGCCTCAGCTTCCCAAAGTGCTGGGGTTACAGGTTTGTTGAGGGTTTATAAGGAACTTGTTCATATATTTATTTGAAGAAATGGGACTCGGTTGTGAAGAAAATGACTAGAATCCTTTCCCAGGATTTGGGCATTACAATTACATTACAATGCTAGGGGAGGACACGGACACCAAACATGTTAACCAACAGAAAAATTGTTTCAGGTACTGAAAAAGAATGCTATGAGAAAAGTAGAAAAACAAAAACAAAATCAAAAAATAAAAAAGAAGAAAAGAATAAAAATAAATAAATAAAAAGAATAAAACAAACAAAAAGTAGGAAAACGTGGTAGGAAGGGACACGGAGTGGCACTCCTCCAAAATGATCAAGAAAGATTTCTTAAGGAGGTGGCGTTTGAAGTGAGACGTTTAATGTTGAAAAGAGACGAACCGTGCTGAGATCTGGGAGAGGTATTTCAAAGACAGAAGACTACGTGAGCGAAGGTTCACAGGCAGGTGCAAACCAGGTGTGTTTGAGGGCAGGAAGACCAGTGTGGTGGGAACATAGGTGACAAGGGAAGGCATAGTTATGCATAATATGTTTTTAAAAGGTTGCTGTGTGCAGCTCGGAAAATACATTAGAGAGGAAAAAGTGAGCGTTGAAAAGTCTTTAGGTAGGCACTTGGTCCAGGCTGGTAAGAGATGGTGAGGAGTACCAGAAGTGTGTAGATTCAGGCAATATTTAAAAGTGAAATACTGAAATGACCTGGAATATGGAGGATGATACAGTTTTGATGTGTGCCCCTGCCCAAATCTCACGTTGAAATGTAATTGCCAGTGTTGGAGGTGGGGCTGGTGGGAAGTGATTGGATCATGGGGCAGTTTCTCATCTCGTGATAGCAAGTGAATTCTTGCAAGATCTGGTTGTTTAAAAGCGTGTGGCACGCCCCACTGTCTCTCTTGCCCTTGCTTTCACCTAGTGATGTGTAAGCTCCTACTTCACCTTCAGCCAGGATTGTAAGCTTCCAGAGGCCTCCCAAACAACAGATGCTGGTGCCATGCTTCCTGTACAGCCTGCAGAACCATGAGACAATTAAACCTTTTTTCTAGTATATTGCCCAGTCTCAGATATTTCTTTATAGTAATGCAAGAACAGCCTAATGCAGAGGGCGAGTAGAGAGAAGGGGATACTCTGTTGGGGTGTTAAGTTGTTGCTGTAGTCCAGTGGTTTAACTAAGGGGGGAACAGTGGAACTAAAGAGAAGGACACCCATTCAGGAGTCCATCAGTCAACTCTCCTTGTCAACCACCCTTCACAGGACATGGCTTGGAGTTATCCCTGTGTGATCATTCCCTGGACATTTGTAAATGTCCTTCTGAAAAGCCAAAAAGCCAGCTGGAGCCGGACAAAATCTGGTCAAAACACAGTCTCCCTTGTTCTCAACATTATCCTTCCATTGAACATGTCTGAGATTGCATAATCCTATTCAGGTAACCATGACAACAATTGACTCCTATTGAGATAGCAATTGATTGAAAACTCTAAGTCAGAGATGGCAAACATGAATACCTGCAGGAGCCAGGCAGGGAAATGTGAGAAGCAGTGGGTGGGGTGTAAAAGGAAGGGGTGGGAATTGTGGTAAACTGTAGAGTACTGGGCCAATCCAATTCTATTGAACTTCAAATCTTTAAGAAGCTTTTCACATTTAAAAATGTGACCTGCAGGCCATATTTAGCCTGTGGGTCACCAATTTGCTGCCTACAGAGATGTTTTCATGTTAACTCTCTGTTCAGCCAGGTCACTCCCGTCAGTGCTCCTAAAGCTGATTTTCCCCCAGGCTTTAACTTAAACATATTCACTAGCATTCAGTTGGCTCTTGGTTCATTATTAGACCGTCTTTACATCTTCTCCTCGCTATCTGGTTGC